GTCCAGGCCTCCCCTTGCTCCGTTGGCGGATGACTCGGTGGTTGATCCTGGTCCTCGATGGCGGATGACGACCCCCTTGAACCTCTTCTCTCGGCGTGGGCTGAGTTGGTGAAGTAGTTTGGCCTAGGACGTATTCAGGTGGCAGATTTTACCAATCCTGATATAATTTGGGGCCTGCTCGATCCGACCCCGTCCTAAGCCTCGCAAATCTTCTTCCAGACTGATGCCATCTTGCTCCTCCTGTCCCTTCCTTTTTTTTTTAGATTTTCCCATCATTCTAATTAACCCCGCCTACAGTGTCCAATCATAGTTGATCCCTTTGGTGCTCAACGTTGTGATTGGCTGCCACTTCGATCAGCAGTTCACTGTAGACGTCAGGTTGTGCGTCCATTGCCCGGGACCTTGAATATGATACTAGTAGACTCGTCGGTGCCATTCTACATGTCTCTTTGTATTAGAAAATTGTAATATTTGATTTACTTGAATCAGTAGCAAGTTTTAAATGGGCCTAATACGAATTTTAAAGATATGATGGTTAAAGATGAAATTTAAGAATTTAATTAAAATATAAATATGTTAACAATCTGTAATGATTCACGATACGTACGTAATTTTGTGGCTATGATTTTCTTTCAAGAGTTTAACTACTATTGAGCTGGGGTTGGCATGATGTTTGGTGTTGTGTTCTTTGAATCTTTTGTTGAAATTTCTGTTTGTGTAACCGATATACTGTTTATTGCAGGGGGCGAATGTGATTTTTAAAGACTCATCTTTCATTATCTGGGTTGTCTTGTTTGTAAATGGGTTCTGGATTGGTTTTAACCTTGTAAGCTGGCGTGTGCCATTTTTGGTTGAAGGGTGTTGGGATTATGCATGCTGGTATAACTGGATCTGTACCAAGAAAAGAAGCCATCGAGATACTCAGAAAAAGACTTGCCAACTGTGAAAATTTTGATGAAGAAATAAATGATATTATTAAAATTACAACAACAATAACAGAACAAAACTATTTCTCTTATTATGACAAAACATACTATGATCCCAATGGTCTTCCAATGGGAGGCCCACTATCAGCCATCTTAGCGGAGTTACCGTATTTATGCAGAATTTTGAAGAACGACATACTATCAGATGAAAACCCTTACTTCAACCAAATCAAATTTTATGCTCGGTATGTTGATGCTGCCTTCATCGTACTAAATGCTAATCAAATACAGGCGAATAGCTTCCTAACACACGTAAACAAAACACATAATAGCACCAAATTTAAAATGGAAACTGAGCTAACCATTCCATAAGCTTTCTTGACATAACAGTCACAAAAACTCAAAACCAATCAGTTAAAATCGGAATTTTCAGAAAACCAATACAAACACATCTAATTATCAGCAGAATCCAATCACACCTACAACAAAAAAATGGCAGCTTTTAGATCATTAACATTCCCAACTACAATCTCGACCAAAAAGGATATAAAAAATATACCATACGAAAATAGCATGAAACAATGGGTTACAACCCAACAATCGTGGAAACTATGATCGGCAAAACCAGAAAGAAAATTAAATCCATCACACAAAATGAACATTCAAATCAGTCGAACGTAGCAATCAGATATACGTAGCAATCAAGTACACCGACAAGACAACCGATAAATAGGAAAAAACTTTAATAAAGTAGGCTACACACCAGCTTACAAGGTTAAAACCAATCCAGTACCCATTTATTTACAAACAAGAAACCAACAAAGAAAATCCAGATAATGAATGAGGAGTCTATACAATTACATGTGCGCCCCCTGCAATAAACAGTATATTGGTTACACAAACAGAACTTTTAACAAAAGATTCAAAGAAAACAACACTGAAAACCATGCCAACCCCAGCTCAATAGGCCTAGTAGCTAAACTCTTGAAAGAAAATCATAGCCACAAAATTACATATCCTAAATCATTACAAATTCTTCACAAAACCAACTCCAAATCTACTGCAATAGTGAAAGAAAGCTATGAAATACATATATACTGAATGCACATTAACACCAGCTCTGACACCCTCCTAAATAAAAAAGATTACCACAATTCCGTCTTATTTAAAATATCAAAGAAAATCAACGATCTGACAACACCGCACACAAATGGCAACACCGCAAAAGAGAAAGCGACCACCCCCTAAGAGGATTTAACATTAAATATTTATATCGTTATACCGTTTTCGAATGTTTGTGACAACATTTAATATGGGTAATGTTCCCAAGATTATATTTTTTCAAAGGATGAAGAAAGTGAAAAGATAGTTGTACCTAGTACGAGTGCAAGCTTCAAAGATAGTAGTAACCACCATAAAACAGATAGTAGCGCACAGACAGAGAGTGAAGATGGCGGTCGAAGTGTTGAGTGTTGACATAGTTGACATAGTTGACATTTGCAATACAGTATAAGTGATCACACAGAAGAGAGTGAATTCCAAATAGATACTCCAAGAAAGAAGGCGTTAAAGATAGATTTACTCAAATTAAAACAAAACCTTGAAACTAACAAAAAGAAAATAAAAACCCTACAGTATTGTCACAGAAGATTAACAATTAAATGCAACACTTTAAATGATATTATCAACGATTTGAAGGAAAAAAAATCTGTGACCAACAATGCATGATTTTAAAAGATGGTTTATCCCAAAAGCCAGCAATAGGTGTTGAAAGTTATCAGCAATCCACAGACAAGGCAAAATATTCCCCTGCTGTTCACTCTTTTGCACTTACTCTTCATTATTACTCACCGAGCGCATATAACTATGTAAGGAAAACCTTCTGGAGGTCCCTACCTCACCCTAGAACACTAAGAAGATGGTATTCTTCTTTAGGTGGCGAGCCAGGATTTACTGAAGAAGCCTTCAAAGCCATATTGCGTTGCAAGTTGAACAGTCTAAAAAGAAAGATAAACAAGAAGTAGTGTGCTTAATGATGGATGAAATGGCGATAAAGAAACATATAGAATTCGACGGGAGACAGATGAATGGGTACTTAGATCTTGGCACTGGACTCGATATCAATGATAGTTTGCCAGAAGCCAAAAATGTGTTGGTATTTTTATGGCTGTAGCATTGAATGGCTCATGGAAAATACCCTGTGGGTATTTTTTAATCGACAGTATTGGCGCTGAAAAAATGCAATTTAGTTTGACGATGTTTGCGTAAGATTGCTGAAACTGGAGCAGTGACTATAAGTTTGACGTTTGATGGTGTTTAATCAAACCTACGTATGGCAAGTATGCTGGGAGCAAATTTAGACGTTTTTGATCCAAATTTTGACTTTTTTAGTAAGGTGTGCATTATTGGACGCTCCTCACATGCTTAAGCTAACAAGGAACATATTGGCTTCGTTAGGCGAAATAATTGTGAAAAGAGAGCAAAAAATATTTTGTATTGGCCTAGTATAAATTCATATACACAGGAGTTTGTAAATAATTGTATGACATGTGCTTTACATTCCCCCAACTGTAAAGAACCAATCCTGTTTCATGAAATACCATCCCTGCCATGGTCTAAAGTTTTAGCAGACCTCTTTGAATTAAAATCTGTGCACTACTTAGTTGTAATGGATTATTACTCTAAATACATTGAATTAGTGTCTCTAAATGATATTAGCTCAAAAGGTGTTATTAACAAATTAAAGTCAATGTTTGCAAGACATGGAATCCCCCAAATACTAGTAACTGATCCAGTACTCAGTTCACTAGGTAGTCATGAGTTTCAAATCTTTGTAAATAGCTATGAATTTAGTCATGTCCTATCTTCACCAAAGCAGTCCCAGTCCAACGGACAGATTGAGTCAGGAGTAAAAAATAGCCAAAGGTATACTGAAAAAATGTGAACATTCAAACACAGACCCCTACATCGGTTTACTCAATTACAGGAACACTCCTAAAGGTAATTTACCTTCACCCGCACAATTATTGTTTTCGAGAAACTTAAATTCATTAACATGTTCAGCAAAGTTCCTAGAGCCAAAGGTCACAAAACCAACCCCCAATCTTGTAAATAAAAGAAAACAGTCTGTACAAAAATATTATGACAAACATGTTAAACCTTTATCAAAGTTGAATGTAAATGACAAAGTTCTTTTTAAAAAGAACCTAGATGGTCCTTGGTCCCCTGGTAAGATAACAGCTTTAGGAAATGCACCCCGTTCTTATGTGGTAAAGGATGATAATGGTAGATTGTATAATTGCAACAGAAAGTTTTTTTTTTATTTTATCTCCAACTGACAATCCCGATGAAAATGTAAATCCATCTCATCCTAGCACCAATTCTAAGGATCCTAATCATAAAACCAGAGTCCCACTCCCAACCAACAAAAATATCTAATTCAGCCCAGTCCTTTGATTCCTCCCACTCCCAGTGGTCATGATGAAAATAATGTTATCCAAGTCAAAATGCCAAGCAAAGTCTGAAAGCGTTCCTAATCCAGTTACTTTTTTAACTGTTAGGGCCTAGCCGGGGAACAGGCTGTACACGAAGAAAACCTAGTATTAGGAAACTGTTATAAACTAAACTTGCTGTATCATTTCAAAATTCCGTTCGATAGCAGAAATATTCAATCAATAACTGAACATGCTCGGCGTTTTCTTTTTTTTATTAAATCTCAAAGCTTCAAAGTGGCAAAATTTTATAGGAACCTCCAGAAGTAACTGCTCCCCTGTACTGTAATAACTGGACTGGAACTAACTGGAATGTGAACGGAACGAAACGGGTTGAACTTTAAGAGATAACAACAAGAGTGACCAGTGACGTCATGCCATGACTATGAGCATGAGCCAATAAGAATGCTTTTACTACGTCCGTATAAAAAAAAAACTGGTGCTGAAATAAAAATTGTGCCGCCCTTCTATGTTGGTTAGGAGAGTCCTGGACTCAGTCCGAGTCTCAGTCTGATTCTGATTGTCTATTGTCTGTCTACTGACTGACTGAGTGACTGAGTACTGTCAGTTGTCGTTGTCAAAGGTTCCGTCCCGTCGTCTTTGCCAAGTGAGACTGTTTTCTTTTGTGAATGTAAGGTGATTCACCATCAATATTATTAAATTAATATTTTAGGTCTTTTTCTACTACTTATTAGGGTAAGTAAATCAAGTTTTATAAGTTTTATCTATATTCTCACTCTTAGATTAATGGTTGTATTTAGACCCTAATTCTAGCCAATGTCAAATTATCAATACATTTGACTGGCTAACTTGGCCTACTCTAAGAGTTCTAAGGTTCTAAGCATAGGCTATCTAACTAATTAATGTAATGTTAGGCATAGAATCCCTCGTTTATTTTGGTCTATTTTAAACTTATGAATCAACAGAAAATAAGACTGGGTTTTTTGCATAGGTATGCTTAAGTGGGACTGCTAACTGCTAAAGTCCAATAACCTAGGCCAATTATTTCTCAAAAATGTAATTTGATTAGCCTATGCTAGGCCTTGGCTAAGGCGTATGCTAAGATGACTATTTCTCTTTTTAACCTCATTCTTGAATTCCTATCAGTGACAGCGACACGCCTACTGATAGTCTATTTAGAAGAGTCAAACGAGTGAATGTTTGTCTGGTAACTAATTGATATGTCTACAACACAATATCATGTAATTTTTAGATGTCTACTTACATTATTTTTCACGCTGAATAAAAAAATGCCAATAAGTTTTTGTGGGAGAGATTCCTAAGTGGTTGTACAGTTAAATAATTAATATTAAGCTTCAGTTTTGTTGAGTGACTTATTCACATAACTTATTTGTGGTTTGGGCGAGTCCAAGTTCTAGTGGCGACTAACTCTGAAAGGGGAGGAAGGTTTGTGGAGTGGAAACAGCTGTCAGTTTTTTACATTCGCTAGGTAAGTTAGGTAGGCCTACTAAACAGACAAAACCAAACACGATGACATGAGAACAAAATCAGAATTTGATTGGAAAAGCAAATGGACTTTGGTGCCGTGTACAAAATACAATAAATCAACTGCGATACATAAATTATACATCAACATAAATTAAGTTAGGCCTATAAACAAATTGAATTTACTCTCTTAAAATAGGTACCAGTAATAGAAGCTAGGCCACTGCCGACATGATCGTTCTCATTCCAACCCTCAACGTCGTCTGTTAATGGGCGTAGCATAGTGCATAATCCCATAGTACATAAGTTAATCCCATTGTGCGTAAAAGTGAAAACGTGACACAGTGCATAATTTCATGTATTCAGCAACTAATAAATAATATTACGGTACATGTTTAATAAAGAAACCCCAACAATGAGAGATTCCATGCTTGGTAATACTGTAATATTTTTTTGCCCTAAGACAAACTGCAGTAAAGAAATTAAGTATTATTGAAACCCTTTTTAATTACATTAAGCTCAGCTAATCTAATCTAACCTAACCTAATCCAACCCAACCTTAATATTAATTTTTAAATCACATTTTATGTCAGAAAAGGCATGTAGACATAGACCTATCAAATAATTGCCAAATTTAGAGAATGAGGCAATGTTTATGATCTCAGCGGGTAATTTTTGTAAATTTTTGGCCCCATATACTGAGGGGATAAATGAAAGATTTAAGCCTATGTTGAACTGGTTTTTATAATATTTTTGAATCTTGTGTTATGTGGATGAAATTACATTAATGCCAATTTGTAAATATAAGAGCTAAAAAAGGTTAAAATTTTAAACTGAACAAATAAATCTTTACAATGTTTTCAACGGGGGACTCTGGCCATTAATTTTACAGCTCTTTTTTGGAGAATAAATATTTTTGGCCTGGCTTGATGAGCCCCATACAGTAATATTACCATAATTCATCAATTTAATTGATGAAAAATATGTGTGATATACTACCATACTATTTGTGTTTCTAAATTACAGTAGAACCTCGATAACAAGACTGTTTTTTAGGTTGGGATTATTAAATAAGACTTGTTATCAAGGTTGACTTCTCATTGAGGTTGGCAATAACATGTGATAAAGGGTAAAATAAATAAGTCAATAATAAGTCAATAAGTCATTTATTGGGCCAAATTGACAATACTTGCATTAGCCAAGTCAGTACAAGAAAAATAAATTTATTACATCTTAATAAAAAAAATTCCTTAAAGTTAAAATTTTAAATTCTCTGAAATAATCTCTGCATGATTGTTGTTTGGAAATAGAAAACACAATTCGAATTGCCCTTCTCTGAAGCCTAAACAAGAACCTTGTCCTCTCACTTTTGCACCCCCAAACAGGAACCGCATAAGTCAGATGAGGGTAGACAAGCCCATAATAGGCTGATAATAGGACATCAGTGGTGGCTGATTGGCTGAGAACTCTCATCATAAATATACCCACCGATACTTTCTTGCTGACGTGCTCGATGTGGCTGTGGAATTTGAGGTTTTCATCAAGGACAAGACCGAGGAATTTTACTTCTGAAGAAGGGGAGATAGTGTTATCGTCGAGGAGAATGTTCAAGTCATAGTGGGACCGTTTTGACCGGTTAGAAATGGAAAATTGGACTATTTGGGTTTTTTGAGCGTTCAAGATTAGGTCATTTTCTTCGCACCACTGAAGAAGGGAGTTTGATTCCAGAAAGGTGACAAGTTCCAGTTCCTCCATACTAAGTCTGGACACAGTTAGGGAAGTGTCGTCCGCGAATAGGCATACATTTGCCTCGTTTACGCTAGATGGCAGGTCATTAATGAACAGAAGGAAAAGGATCGGCCCCAGGACGGACCCCTGTGGCACACCCCTCTTTACTACAGCCTCAGAAGATACATGGTTCCGTAGATAGCCCGTGTTATCAACTGCAGGTATGATTACAGTCTGCCTTCTACCTTCAAGATAGGACGAAAACCAGTCGAGAGCTGTGCCTCTAATGCCCATGTTATTCATTTTGCTAAGGAGAAGTCTATGGTTTACGAGGTCAAAGGCCTTACTGAAATCAAAAAACATCCCAGCTACTGCTAGTCTAGAATCCATATCTTTTACTATTCCGTTTATGAGACTGAGAATTGCGCCTGTCGTTGATTTGTTTTTAACAAACCCGTGCTGACTTTTAAATAGTATGCTGTGTTTCTCAAGGAATATCCACAATCTACTCAGCACTGCCTTCTCAAAAACTTTGGAGAAGGTCGAGACCAGGCTTATAGGGCGGTAGTTGTTGCAGCACATTCTATCTTCATTCTTAAATATAGGTCTTATTAGTGATGCCTTAAGGTTGCTAGGAAATCTTCCCTCAACAAAGAAAGTGTTTATCAAGTGGCATATAGGTTTTGTAACTACATCTGATATATATTTGAGCAAATTCGGGGATATTTCGTCAATTCCAGCAGACTTTTTATTTTTTAATCCGTTAATTATACTTTTAATTTCTTCCTCGGTAACGGAACTCAGAAAAAATGAGGAATTTATTTGTTTTTTATTTGAACTGAAAGAGGGAGTGTTTCTTTTTTTCAAACAAGCATGCTTTCCCACTTCAACAAAATGCTTATTGAAGGCCTCACATACCTCCTCTGGTTTGACCACCACATTACCGTTGTTGTTTTTAAGAGAAATGCCTTCCTGTTCCCTTTTCCGTTTTGGTCTAATATCATTTATTACCTTCCAAGTTCCTACTGTTTTATTGCTCGACTTTTCAATTGTATTTAGTACTGATTGTGCTTTAATATCTCTTATCAAGTTTCTGTATCGGAATTTCAGTCTCAAATAGTACTGTCTTAGGAAATGATCAGAGTGTAAGTCTTTTGTCTTTTCGTAATACTGGAAACACTGTTCTTTCAGATGAAGCAGTTCTGGAGAAAGTTTGATTCGTTTCTTGGGTTTATTCTTAATTATTTTATTTATTTTCGGAAATGAAATTTCAAAGTAATGGCCAAGCGTGCTGTTAAATATATTGTACTTTTCCTGCGTGCTTTCTGCTTTGTATAAATCGACCCAGCTCTCTCGACCAAGTAAATATTTAAAAGATTCCATGTTTGATACACTAAATTTTCTACAGCACCGAAACTTCGCCCCTGCGTCCTTGTTGGATGGAGATATTTCAAGCTTTATAGTTTGAGCGTAATGGTCAGATAAAAATGATTTGACAACATCACTTTCGGGGCTGTTACTGTCATTCGTGAATATATGGTCTATGAGGGTACGTGAACCTAACGCTTCTCTTGTGTATGATTTTATGACATTGTGCAAATCATATGAAGATAAGGTCGCAGTAAACTTACTAGCAATAAAACTGTCAGTGGACAAGTCAATGTTGAAATCTCCTATTAATACTATTTTAGAGTGTGAAGACGCATATTTATCTAAGCAGTCTTCAATATTGTCCTAGAAGATTTCATATGATCCTGACGGTGGTCTATACCCGGCTACGACTAGCAACTTTTCATCGCAACTGATTTCGACTGACATTGCCGATAATTCACTTTCTCCTTCCACACTCAATTTGACAGTGTCAAGGGGTTGGTATTTCAGGTGTGGGCTGCACCAAATCGCAACACCTCCACCATTCGTTTCTGTTCTGCAGAAGGATGAGACATAGTCAAAATTTTGTATAACTAGGTTCTCAATTTCATGTTGTTTTAAAAAATGCTCAGATATATGCATAAGACATCTGGGGTTTCGTCATCAATAAATATGTCTAGAATATCCAGTTTGTTAAGTAAGCTCCTAACATTCTGGTGAGCTATTTTTAAGATCCTGTTAAATTCAAGGGAATTTACAAAATTACCGGTACACTTGTTATCAAGGGTGACTTATTATCGAGGGTCTTCTTATCGAGGTTCTACTGTAGTAGTAAGTTATCCGGAATTATTGTGAGAACAAATGTTTCTGAGCGTAGTCTTTTTGATAGGTTTTTCTGAATCGATTTCTATTCCCAAATAATTTATTGACTGTTGTTAATGAGTTGTCGTTAAGTTTATATTTACAATTATTTCTTGGTTAATATTGGACGCAGAAAACTGAATTAGTTGAGTTTTTGCCACATTCATGGACAGGCCATTTACTGTAAACCAGTCCCCAAGGAGTTGAAATTCCTGATTTATTGAGGCTTGTATGAGCTCATTGTTTTGTCCTGTACAAATTAGAACGATATCATCTGCATATTGAAAGCTGGACATCTTAGTATCTTTGCATAGAGCATTAAAATATATAATAAATAAACAATGGCCAAAAATGGAGCCCTGAGGAACTCCACTGGAGGGTTAATTTTCCACTCTGATTTATAATGTCTGCATATTTTGTACACCAAGTCTTTGTTTTCTGTTTTTAAATGACAAAATAGACTAGGCTAGGCCTACTACAGTAGAGTTGAGGCCGTTGTGGGAACAGAAAGTATGAGCTGCACATGTTCATTTCACTAAATTGTCAGTCTCTACAAAGATTATCTAGGATTGTCATAGTTTTTAGTTTTACCGTAGGCAGGTACAGTTCCACTCAGAGAACCTGCAATAAATATTATCGGTCGAAATATCAATCAATATATACCAATTTTGATTCGGTTCGATAGCTTAAGTTAAGTTTTTTAATGTAAATATTGAATTGAGCTATGATATTTTTTTGTTTTTTGATGATTAATAAATCTACTAAACAGTGTGGTGTGATCAGCGTGTGACTTGATTTCTGACAGAAACATTAGACTTAATTTCTGAAAAGCCGTAGTGGTAAACAATGTTGTATTTTGTGTTCAGGGGACCAATAAATCTCTACACCACTGAGTATCTTGTTAGCTGCACCCTTAAGAATAATAAGTTTTTATTTCAGATTAAGGTAGGTACACAAATGAGGTTCAGTCTTTTAAAAAAATAATTAAGAATCCTCGCTATCTTTGACCTTTTTTTTTCTAAAGTAGGCCTAATTTTTACAATCTTTTTTTATATCTTTTTTTATTATATTTGAAAAGAAGCCATCCTACAAAGGGGCCCTGTATTTCAACAACCTACCAGAACAACTTAGAAATGAACCAACTCACCGTTTCAAGAACCAATTAACAACATGGCTGCAAGAAAGGCCATTCTACTCAGAAAAAGAATTCCTTGACAACCAGCTTTAACAACATATTAAATCAACAAATTTTAATTATTATTCTGACGCATGTACTGTTCTCAACGAATATGTAAATAAAGATCATTGTCTATTGTCTATCATGTTTAACTTTTCAAACTTTATTGAATAAAATATAAACATAAACAAAACATGGTAACTTACATCTGTAACTAGACATAGTATTTTTGGTTCAGAAATGAAGTTAACTTAACTTAGCTACTTTTAGTCTTTTCCCCTAAGTATTAATATTTTTCAATAGGGTAGATGTACGGTAATTGATTCTTATTGTTTTTTTTTTATTTAATCTACAGTAGACTCCTTCTTATCCAGACACCTTTTAACCTGACGACACTCGGCGGAAATGTCATCTCTTTAACCTGATAATTTTTATTAGCACATTGGTTTAACCGGACTAGATCGGCAGGAAGTGGTCAGTAGGCCTACTGAAACAACTGTTCTCATAGGAAAGATTTGAGACCAGTGATCACATGTCTAAATATAATGCTCTCGTAAATTTAAGTCCAATATCACAGTAAACAGTCCGTTTTAACAAGATTTTGGGGACGTCGGTTTAACCGGGAAAACCCGTTATCCGGACTGGCCTCAGTCCCGAAGAGTCAGGATAAGAAGGAGTCTACTGTATTTTTTTCTTTTTTAGAAGCCAGGAAACTTTAACCATAGCATAGAAATTATACATGTTAATACAACCATTCTATTTTTTTGTTTCATAAGTTATTTCTGTTTCAGCAACACAATTTAAAGTTGTTTGTATGCTACATCTTGGATTTTGTAATATTTAAACTGCAAAATAACAATGGAGTGGTTATTTGGAAAAAGAGTAACACCTGAGGAGATGTTAAGAAAAAATCAAAGAGCCCTGAATAAAGCAATAAGAGATCTTGATAGAGAAAGAATGCGAATGGAACAACAGGAAAAGAAGATAATTGCAGACATTAAGAAAATGGCAAAAGAAGGGCAAATGGTGAGTTTATTTTCAAGTTCAAATAAGTTTTACACAATCATAGTACTCATTGTGTAGCCTAGTCAAAATATTTCTTGAAAGTATTGATGAATTCAGTTAACAAATTGTTTATATTACTTCCTGCGATCGCTGTAAAATTGTGATTGTCTCTCATGATCAGGAACGTCTCCGTAATCTTAGAAAAAATTAGAAAATCTTCCGCATAGGACTACATGTGTTATTATTATTTTTAACGTCTCCTGTGGTAACAATAACAACTTGAATGTCTCTTTCGGTCACAGCACAGGCCTAACAGTGAACATCCACAGTTGCCGGGACATCATCGTCTCCTGTGATCGTGGCGAGATCATGAAATCTCCAATTGTGATGAAACCATAATATTAATCTTGTAATCTTCATGGGCACTTTTTGCTAAAGCAATAAGTTATCGTAAGAGTAAACGCTCCACTAAGCTTTAAAATTGCTTCAACACCTCTAATGCAAATTACTATTTGAGGTTGGCCGGAAAGATACTTCCGCCATAAACTGATATCACGGGCCAACTGTTGGTCTAGCCTGACCTGAAAATTCCAGAGACGTGCAACCTGAACTTGAAATCAGGTGTAACTTGTGTATGAAAATAAGTTTACAGCACTATGAATTACTTGCGATTTGATTTTTAAGACAACTTATATTTTACTGTTGTTTACAGCCTAGCCAATAAATTGTTAACACGTTCACTGCTGAAAACCTTTAAACATGCGCTCGCAAACTGCGGCGAGGCCGCGTTACTGAATCAGCGATCGCATTTGGCATTCAAATATCTCAGTAAGACGAAACACAAAAGAGCAGTGGTGATAGCTCTGCATTACCCCGAAAGTGGACGTAGTTCACTAAAACACCCAAAGGTAGCAGCACTGCCTGGATCAATAACCAGAGTCTTTGTAATATGGCTCGAATAGAGAAAATCCCCAAAACCGGGACAAAAGCATTTCCAGACGGGATTTTACGGGAATGTTTAGTACCAACCTACACCAAAATAAAGCTTGTATTCTAAGCTAAAGCCTGGCAACAATAACACTGTCCCCGGCCGAGTGCTGGGCTCAGACTGTGTAGGCCGCAGCAAACGTGTTAAGTGATTTATGGAGTTATCAATGTTTTTTTTTTTTTTTTTTTTTTTTTTTATGTAGATACAAATGATCAAATCATGAAAGTGGTTATTTTATCATATTAAATAGCTGCCAGAAATAGCCAATATTATTTTGTGACAAACTCATATCTAGACCTACAAGCTATTATCTTAAAGTTGGTTAAAAAATAATACTAGTAGTATGGATTATTTTACTTGGTGTATTGTTGAGCGCTGGCTACATCAATTTATGTAGTTGCGCCACTAGCGCTCCTATCGGCCTACATTACTTCAGTATGAGTTCAGCCATTGCCGAGAAACTTTATAATCGTTGCTAGCCTGTAGCTTAGAATGTGAGGTTTATTTTGGAGTAGGTTGGTACTAAAATTTCCTGTAAAATCCCGTCTGAAAATGCTTTTGTCCCGGTTTTGAAGATTTTCTCTCTTCAAGCCACATTACAAAGACACTGACTACTGATCCAGGCAGTGCTGCTACCTTTGGGTGTTTCAGTGAACTACGTCCACTCTCGGGGTAACGCAGTACAATCACCGCTGCTCTTTTGTTATTCGTCAGATTGAAATATTTTAATGCCAATTGTGATCACTGTTTCGGTGCTACGCCCGGGGCTTCACCAGGGCCTCGAATAACTAATTAAAATTGTATTTGGGCCCACCTAATATTTTTATGAAAACTGTAAAAAAATGTAGACTAACGAGGAACATTTATGTAAAGTATATAGGCTGTTTCGGCCCCAGTTGCAGGCAAGTCTGAAAAACCTCTTTGCACACTGGATATACGAATAACTTTTACAAAGACCAGTGACCTTATGACCAGTGTCGTTTTACGCAATCGTTAAGTATTAGTAGTTTACGCAACAATTGCGTAAAGATAGTGTTAACAACACAAGTAGAAAATTTTAGGTATAGTATGAGCCTTGAGGAGTGCCTTAAAAACTTCTACGAATGTCGTTAACGCTATTTACGCGAGTTGCGTACACTACTTTACCTACGACAGTGATTTAATTAAAAAAAATCACTACTCATAACTTCTAAGAGAGGTTATGGTTTTGTTTATATCCTCTCATTGCTACTGACAGTGAAGCAACAAAACATTGTACCAAACACTAATACTCAACAATTAAATTGGCCTGAACAGCTGATTAGTTGAAGTTGGAATCATTACAACTAGTGTACCTGTTGCTCGAATTCAAGAAATTGCGAAGTATTACAGGCGTTATTTTAAAACGAATCACAGTCATAATTTCCCATGACTTTAAAAGAGTCGGCTCAAAGATTATGGAAATACTTACGATGTACATACAAGTTTGATATAATCAACATTTCTTGTAAATATCTTATCATTTTTCAAAAGCTGATCTTGTTTTTTCTGTTTTCTACAAATGTTTCCCACTCTGGCCTCATTAGGTTGTCCATAATAATGATTATAAAATCTAAAAAAAAAAAACACATAATTTCCATTTATCTACTTGGTGGTGCTCTCTGACTTTCCTATGCTTCCGTAGTTTGCAAATCAGCTCCAATGCTGCTCATTCAAATACAGTCCACTCTTGGTAATTCAAACACTTGATAATTCAAAACATTCGATAATTCAAAATGAAGGCTCAGTCCCTAGAGAATCTCTCAATATTTCAAATTTTTACCATGCATTTTGATACACTCGGTATTTCAAAGTCCAAATAGAGGGCAGGTCAATTTGTAACACGCAGTAATTCAAAGTTTCGTCGGAAAAACACTCTATAATTCGAAGTAACTCAGTAATTCGAAGTTCGTCGGTTGACACTCTATAATTCGAAGTCATGCTGTAATTCGAAGTTTCGTCGAAAAAACACTCTATAAATCAAAGTCACGCAGTAATTCGAAGTTTAGTTGGCAAAACACTCTATAATTCGAAGTGATCTCTTCCTGTTATAACAGGAAACTATACAGTACAGTACATCCTGTTCCCATGGTAGGCTAGTGTTGGACGTTTTGATGTTTGTTTAGTTAGAGCAGTAGTCTGAGTTAGTTCGCTGACTTGTTTTTCTAAGTTGGCAATCCCATCTCTAGATTGCGCGACATCTCCTTGAGCACAAACGTAGTTATGTCGACAGCTGATAGTTCAGCTATTGGCGAAATATATAGCGCTAAATAACAGATTTCTTTGCAACTATGTACATTAACTGAAAAGTAAGCCGTTGATTGTTTAAAAGTGTACTAAAATACGGTATGATGTTTTATTGTAACGTGCTGTACCTTTGTATGTATTAAACAAACAAACTCTCTGTAATTCAAATGGTTTATTTTTCTCCCGATAAATCAAACTCTTGATAATTCAAAACTCTTGATAATTCAAATTTATATGCTTGGCCCACCAATTTCGAATTATCAAGAGTCTACTGTAGGTGAATGGGGGTAATTGGGTGCTGTTCATTCATGCTGTCATTGCTCTTTCAATGATTGCTCAAGAAATGCTGCACAGTGTTAATTCAGTTTTATTTTTAGTATATCAAATTGTCCGGGCCACATCGCTTTTATCCATTGTAATATTAATGCCAACCCAAATTCAAAAATAGTAAATATTTCATTTCAACCAAGTCAGTAAATGTTTGTAGCACTTAAATTGCAACTAAAATATTAACAGCTGATCATAATGTAAACAAATATGTTCTTCGTAAGGATAACATGGGGACTTAAAAAACCAATGGGGCAGAGCCCAAGGGGCTTTTTCAAAAATGTAAGGTCATTTTGTAAATCTATACACCTAGACGAACATTTTGGTATATAATATGAGGGGTTAAATCTTAAAACAATAAAGCCTTAAGACCTATTTTGCTTGGAGCGACTGTAGCGATAGTCGCACAGCAAATATCGCTTAGCTACTGTTGCTGTTACGGCGGCCATTTTGCTTAGAGCAATTGGTTTTCGGTCGCCGCACGATTTTTCATAGTTAGTTGAATACCAGCACTCACAATGGTGAAGTCATGAGTGTGTGTTGTAACTTTTAAAAGTATCTCCTCAGCGAGGAGTTAGAAGACGAGGCTCTACTTGACCCTTGTGGAAGTATTAATAGACGATCGATAGAAAATACATAGTGATACGTAGGATTTGGGACGGATACGTATCACTAGACGTCACTAGATAGGATATAAATAGAAAACTGTAGTGATATCAATAGAAAAAAATATATTTATATAAAACAAAAAAATATTTATATAAATAAGACATAAATATTATGTATTTGTTTGTACATGAATGTCGGAAAATAAAACCTGGAGTCTAAATAAAAAAGATTTATTCATACAAAAAACCACAATCATAATCGTATACAATCGTAATAGCACATGAATAGAAAAATTAATGTGAACAAAAAAGTAAATCATGGTTATTTCAACTCCTATTATTAATGTGCCTAGTGAACAGCACTGTTTGAGGTTCTGTGCATGTATAGCTGCGCATCAGTCGCGGCGCGATTATCGCAAGACTAGTATCCAGGGCTGTGGTCCGCAACTGTAGCTAGTGACTCTTGCGACAGTCGCTCTAAGCAAAACAGGACATCACAAACTCCGATAGAACAGTACCCAGCTACTATCGCGGAGCGATTATCGCTACTCGACGATCGTTGCAATGGCCCAAGCAAAATAGGCCTTTATTGTTTACAAAGTTTCATGTCTCGTATTAATAATATAGATTTTACTATTACTGTTTCTCTCTCAATCCTTGAACCTCATTGGTCCGTTACCTGTGTTATGAGTGAAACTATGCTGTTATGAAAGTAAACAATGCTGTTATGTGAAACTTTTCAATTCTAAGAACTGAACTGAAACAACTACCTACTTTAAAAAACGGTCGTAGGTAAACTACTATAACAGTATTGTTTTTTTTTTTTTGCTTAACAACACTGGTACGGTAACATACCAATGAGGTTCAAGGATTGAGAGAAAAGAAGTAAAATTGTAATGCTTCGAACTGCAACTAATAAGCTGTTCAGGCTAATTTTATTGTTAATTTGTGGTGCAATTAGTGTTTGATACAATGATTCGTTGCATCACTGTCAGTGGCAATGAGAGGTTATAAACGAAAACATCCTCTCTTAGAAGTAGTTAGTAGTAGTTATTGTAAGTAATTAAAAAAACTGTTGAAGGTAAAGTAGTGTACTCAACTCGCATAAATAGTCTTATCGATACTCGTAGAAGTTTTTAAGGCACTTGCCAAGACTCGTACCTTAAATTTCTACTTTTGTCGTTAACTCTACCTTTAAATGTGATACCTAACACAAATACTCCATTAAACTGAAAGTGAAATCCGTAGTTAAATTGAAGCATTGCGCTGCTTTTACTTTATCTGTTTTTTATTTTTACAGGATGCGGTAAAAATAATGGCAAAAGACCTAGTGAGAACGAGGCGATATGAAAAGAAGTTCATGATGATGAAAGCAAATATTCAAGCAGTCTCTCTTAAAATTCAGACCCTCCGTTCTCAAAATGCTATGGCTCAGGCCATGAAAGGAGTTACAAAAGCAATGCAGAATATGAATAGGTATGTTGAGTATCTTTGGAAATTGTTTAAAAATAGAATTGGTAAATTTAGTGCAGGTTTTTTTTTATTTTTAACGAGTGATTATTGTCTTAAACTGAATTCTTGAAGTAGGTAATAAAAGAATAATAAGGGGTAAATGGGAGCCTGAGATTTTGAGCTGAGCTTTTACATAGCCTATAATGAGTGAGTGTTGTAAATACCTTACATCATTGTCGTAATAAAAATGAATTGTTACAAAATTCATATTACGAAACAAAATTACATATCTTGTTACAGGTGGGCAATATTTCATAAATAACATTCATCAGTTTAAATGCTTAACATACTGGGAAAAAAGTGTTTGTTCTTGAACTAAAAAGGCAATGACTGAGGACAACTTCCAAAGACTTGAGAAATTTGAAATTATATCTTCACTTTCATTTATCAATTCTATCTTTAAAGATAAGGAAAGTATTGCCACTTTAGGTTTTGATGTTTACACTGTTTCTTAATCAACACAAGCAAAGATGCAGATAACTACAGTATATAAACATTTAGTGAATTAAACCATGTTAATGATAATTAATAACCACTTCATGTCTGACCATACATTCTGTTATGTCAACTAGTAACCTACACATTTTACTTAACCCATTGGGGAAGGAATTAATGCGCTACCTGCAGCACCCTCTGGCGGCAATTAATTTTACCGAATTTGTAGACTTTTACTCTAACTGCTATAGAAAGAAAACCTTAGGTAATAAATTAATAATTCTTTCACCATTTTGTTCTCAGTAAAATTGTCTACAGAAAAGTGGTAACTGGATAGTCAAAGTTCTAAACTAAAAAAAATATATATATATAAAGATTATAAAAAAAATTTAAAAAACAATATTTTGAAAGTAAACTTGATATACAAATTCCAAGATTAATCCAGATACCAAATAACACTACTATTATAATGTTCAATCGATTCCCTACGTAGAAAAATAAAAAGTTGTGTACTTTAATAAGTAATAACATTTTTAAAAAATTGTTTGTTTACCTTACCGCAGCTGATTTTTTGTGATATGTGGTTTCCATGGCAACACAAAATTGTTTGTTTTTCGCTAAAATAAATGAGTAAATACAAGAAGCAAGATATTTATAAACATTATAATAGTAAGAAGAAACAAAAAGGGCGAAAAATAATAATAACTAAATAACTAATGGCGCTGCCTAGCGGTGACACGAGCGGCACTCGTAAGTCGGCCGCCGGGCCTGCAGCGGCCGTACGAGTAACGCTCGTAAGTCGGCGCCAATGGGTTAAGATCATAATGTATGACAAATAATTAAGCATTTGTCTGTTTGAAAATTCAGACATATTTTATATAGTGGTTCTAGTCAAGGATGTGTTTAATTGGCTTATTGCTGTGCAGACAACTGAACCTGCCTCAGATCCAGAGAATACTGCAGGAGTTTGAGAAGCAGTCTGAGATGATGGATATGAAGGAGGAGATTATGAATGATGCCATTGACGATGCTATGGAGGACGAGGGAGACGAGGAGGAAAGGTAAGTTTCCTCTTACTCTTTTATTTCATACATACTGCAAACACATAATACAACACCAAATGATACACAAGCAGTACGGTAGGCTACATTCATTCATATGTGCAAAACTTAATGGTACTTAATGATTTCAATATAGCAGTTAATAGTAGTTAATGACAATCAATAGTAGGTCAATTAACATAGGACTAATAGTAAAACCTTACATTCATTAACCTTATGAATGATAAGCAAAACTTTACACTAAACAAAACATAAGAATATCAACTCATACCATCCTTGGTTGGGAATGTTGTCAGTGACAGTGAAATATTTTGTAAGTAGGCCTATCGTGTTTCGTGTGCCAGATTGGACTCTTTCCCATTTAGAATTGTAGAATGAGGAGGATAGCAGCTAGCTTACCTTGACAAGTGCAAGTAGGCCATACAACATATCAGAGTAGAAACTGAACACACAATATTTTATTCACTGGAGAACTTTGACAAGTGTAGAGAAAGTGATGAGAGTTTCAAACCCTCATCGCCTTCGTCTTTTCAAGGTAAATTAGCTTCCATCCTCCTTATTCTGCAATTCTAAATCCTGGCCTAGAGCCTTTCCTTGGACAAAACTAATCTTTCCCATTTAGGTAAGCCAAGCTTGCTATCCTCACATAAAATCCCAAAAACCTAGGCTCTTGTGCTCTATGTTACATACCTAACCTTGTGTATGGGAAGTCGATAAAGACATGGATAATACTTGTGAATTATCAACACTTGATTGCTACAATTCCAAACAATTACTTACTGCCGTGGCTCCACAAATCTCACTTCTGTCCTTATCTGTCTGCTGCCAAGTTGACATTTGCACCCATTGTCGTTCAATACTTGGTCAGTCCATCTCAATTTCGGCCTTCCCAATGAACGTTTACCTCCAGGTGTGGCTCTATAAACTTCATACAGTCTTGTTCCTTTCCCTCCTCTTAGCACATGCCCTACCTAACTTAACATTCTTCCTATAACTATTGCAACAACATCTGGGTTGGTGTATAGTGATCTTAGCTCTCTATTTTTCCTCATTCTCCACATTTCTCCCTCCTTCACTGGTCCAAATATTTTTCTTAGGACTTTATTTTCAAACACCATGAGTCGGTTTTCATTTTTCTTGGACAATACCCATGTTTCACTACAATATAACAGAATAGGTTGAATTATTGTCTTATATAACTGTATTTTGGTTCTGTGAGATAATACTTTTTGCATGAGATCAACTTTTTCCAGGCTCCCCAACACTTATTGGCATTTGATAACTTAGTTAGTATATCTTCGTCTTCTGAGTTTCTACTATTTACAGTTACTCATAATCATAAATATTTGAAACTTTCTGCACAATTTATAGTTGAGTTCTTTATCTGTCTGTTTCTGTTTCTATTGTTTGCTTGTCTTCCAAAGTTAATGATTTTAGTTTTTTCTAAATTTACTTGCAGTCCTATTTTGTTTGCTTCTGTGACAAGTACCTCTGCCAAACTTGCCAAGTTTTGAACTGTTTCTGATTAAAATACCACATCATCAGCAAATGTCAATATGTTTAGATCTACTCCTAGCTTAACACCCAATCCAAGTTATTTTGTTTTCTGCAGGGCTTCTTCCACTGTTAAGTTGAATTCCAAACAATTGGTGGACATAAACATAACCTTCAGTTTTGTGATGTGTCTGATGATGCCAGCATAGCTGGCGAAAGGCCTCTAAATTGCAATTAAAAATTCAGAAAAAATTGGTGAAGTTTTTATTTTAAATTTATATTCATTTCAATATTACCAGTTCTTCTTGAAAATTAGTTGACACAAATGTTTGACATAGTGGAACTGGAAGCAGACTGAGATGGTTGGTAAGAACAGATGAGACCAACACAACATAATAGATATCCCTCAGTATTAATATTACTGACCTAATAGTATAGGTTGTTAGTGGCTTCAGATTTAGGGGGGTAGGACATACTAGATCCTTATTTTTTTATATGGACTGGCAATGTGTATGCCTCACTTCTAGGTTGTGTGATATTGAGCTGACAACATTATATTATTAGTAGCTAGTGGCATTACAAATGTTTGTGGTTGTTCAGTGATGCCGTTGTGGCACAAGTACTAGATGAACTGGGCCTGCAGTTGGATGACCAGTTGTCTGGTTTACCTCAAGCATCTGCGTCCCTCAGCGTGGCTGGTGGAAAGGTAAGTAACTGGTGTATGTTTCTATCTAGTTTTAGCATAATAATAAAGCATCAATTAGTCAATTATATGTTATCTCGGTTTACCAAAAGTGTTCCAAAGCTTTGTTTTTTTTCTTCTTTTTCTTATTAGATACTATTATGTTCATAGGGATCAGCTAGCTTACCTGGTAGATAGAGTACAGATTAGGTTTCATACACACAACAAAACAAATAACACAAAACAGTAAAATTCTTAATTTTAATGTTTAATTACGTCATGGGTTCACTAATCCCGGGTACCACCATGATTTACAAAGCCCGGGAAGCTGTCTAGCAAAAGAGGTTGTATTGGTTTTTACCTGGCTATCAGCGCCAAATGTTTAACTATCGTAGCAGATATATTCCAACACCGGTTGCCACCGGGCATAAAAACCTTGAAAAGCTTGAATGTATGAATTCTTGTGACCATGAAAAAATGTGGCCGTCTGGCCGTTTTCAATGCATTGAACGTTAAATTTATGAGAGGACACAGCTTACCGGGAATCACAGGCCCAAGAAGCAAACTTTGATTGATGCTTACATTAACTAAATTGAGACGTAGGAATTGGCTAACTCAAGAGCTCGCTAACTCGGTCGTGTGTCGGAACTGGCTAACTCTGGAACTGGCTAACCGTCTCAGTCAGGAATTGGCTAACCCCGGAACCCGCTAACTCGATTTTGTCTCGCGGCGGAATTCGCTAACTCTGGAAGTCGCTAACCCGGCCGCGCCCACTGCATGGAGCGTTGCCAACCTTGCACGACAAAATAATCGTACATTACCGTATTTCAAAATATCAGTGTCAATGAAGATACAGTAAATGTACAGTCCAACCTCAGTATAACGAATCTGAAGGGACCGAACTGAATATTCGTTATATCAAGGATTTCGTTAAAACAAGGTTCGTTATATAGAGGTTATGTTTGCAGGAATTTCGCTAAGTCGAGGTTCAGAACCAGCGTCGGTCAAGGTCGGGATTAGACATCATTAAAACACAATTAAAGTAGCATAGGCTACAATACTTTACAGTACAGTGTTTACAGTGTTTACATTGTACAGTAGAATCTAAATTATCTGGCATAATAAAGGGGAGGGATCTTGAATATTGCACAATCATGAAAATGGCATTGACCTTGGTACAGGTTAAAAAACTGTAAGTTTAAAATCACAGCTTGTTCTAACCCTCCTAAAACCTTGCCAAACACTGTATTGCGTAGTCATAAACCATGTAAAGAACAAAACAAAACAGTAGTAGAAAGTTTTCTAAGCTACTGCTCGTGATTGACCGGTAGGCTACTTACAGTACAGTAGGCCTACTGATTTATCACAACAGAGGAATGTCAATAATAATCATTAACTATAGCATTGGTGTTGATAGTTGAAACAAATCGTATCGATAACAATACAGTAAATTATTAGGTAAGTCATTATAAAAGTGTATAATCATAGCCAACTTAAAGATAATAAAAACACTCGAAAAATGAATGTTAAAATAACGATGTTGCTATTCTTTCTCTTTGGTTTTGTTTTTATATTCTTTCTTGGGTTTCTCTTTATCCAAAAATTGTACAATTCACCATAGTTAATTATCGCCCAATCACAGCTTACTAAACATTACGTCGTCATCAGTCCTCAGTGAATGAAATCAGTTATCAGTTGCAACATAGCGCGCGCAGCGACGACAGCAGACAGAGATGTGTAAAACGGAGCAGACGAATGTTAGCGCAAGCGATGACGTCACCTTTCCATTTCATTTGATATAGAAACAGATTTTTCAAAAACAATAATGGGGTGGGGGATTTGTTATATCGAGGGAAAGACGTAGACAATTCGTTATGCAGAGGTTAAATTCCCAATGTAGAGGTTCTTACAATGATAAATTCGCTATATTGAGGTGTCTTATTTTAGCTAAAATCACAAAAAATTCGTTAAATCAAGGTCGTTGTTATGGTTTGTTCGTTAAGTAGAGGTAAAATATACATTGTGTCTTATGGAGAGTTCTAGGGGATTTAAAAAAAATTCGTTATATCAAGGAATTCGTTGTATCGAGGTTCGTTATATCAAGGTTAGACTGTAATTGTTTTTGTTATCAATTCCACTTTCAACAGATAACTAGCCCAAAGTAATTCAAAGACAATTATTAAAAAATCATGAAAAGTGTTTTTTTATTTAACTCTACAATGACCAGTTAAATGTTAATGATTTCGATCTTAAATATAAATGCCATAAGTATAAAAGAAAATAATAGAGTTTGAAAAATATTGAAAAGGTACTAAATAATAAAACCTCTACGAAATTAAGCTAAAATACACGCTAGGTCTCAAACACGGAAAACAAATTTAATCGTAATGTCATCAAACATCAACCATCAGTCATCAACCATCGTAACTTTCATAACTAATTCATAGATTTAAAATTAAATGTTCGTTGTTGAATCGTCCAACTTACGTGTAAAAATATCACATTAGACTAAGCTTTTATCTAGGCCTAATAGTTTAAGCCAAAACGTTGTAGGCCTACTAGTAAATAGTTGCCTAATTCTATAATGTGTTGAATTTTTTATTAATAATGTTACATGTTTTAAATAGACTAATTTTTAATGCACTCTATAAATAAATTAGGCCTACAACTTTATAATATTGTATTGATAAATGTGTATTTAAATTCAATAGCTCTATTTAAAAATACATTAACAATGTATTTCTGAACTGACGTTTAACGTGTAAATTTTATCATGATTTATGATTCAATTTTATGATTCAAGGTGACAAGCCCAGTAGGCCTATATAAAATACGAACTCAATAATTTATTTGCAGAAGTTCAAAAAATGGTATTTATTCGAATAAAAGAAACAAATGGCGAACTACGAAAATAGATATTTCATAACATGTAAAAGATCCAAATTAAATGTACATTTTTATCTTTTTGCATACCATAAAGCTACTATTTAAGTAAGAAGCCCAAATATAAAACATACTCCCTTATATTAGTATATTTCTAATCCTTATGGATCAGCTGAAAACAGTTTTATTGTTAGTTCTGTCCGGTGCACTGTCTTTAGAGGTCGTGTTTTGTTTACAATTGTTTCTTGTTTCCAGTCATTTAAACATCGTTTAACCAAATAAATGTTCTAATCACAACTAATAACACGTCCCCTAGTTATATAACCAAACAGTAAAGAGCAAATTATGAAGTTAACTATAGAAATAATAGAAACACAAAATACACCCGCCGCAGCAAACCTGCCGACTAAGCGAATTTCCATTTGTCTGAATTGATTTTCAGTTAAATATATTTTAATAACATTAGGTTTAACGAGTACCTAGGTTTGCTGTTACAAGGAAACTAATAAAGTGTGTTTTTGAGTAAAATATTTATAGCTTAGTACAAAATAAATAAATTTGCCAAGTTTGATCAAAATATATCCATAAACAAGCGAACTACAACATTTGACAATATTTTCCATAAGAATAACATGGGAATTTTAAATTTACAATTTTTTTAATTTTCTCCGTTACTAATAATCGAACAAAAATACTTTTATATACTAAATTATTTGTTTTTTTAAGCTCTTTAAAAAGGTCTAAAGAGAAATCGGGAAATTTTGTGTTTTGAGGGTCAAAAGTGAGAAAAACCAATTTTTACCCCATAAAACCCCCCGTAAAGCCCCGTTCCCATGGTCCGATCGTGCTGGTTCGCGAACTCATTCAAGTTTATCCCGCTTTACACCTTTAAACCAAATTTCATCAAAATCGGACAAAAATTACTCAAGTTATCGCGTTCACGGACGTATATATATATATATAAGTCTATATATTTTGTTATTGTATACATCAATGAGGGCTACTTTAAATGTTACTAAGCAAATCAAAATACCACAGTACCCTAAAAACATTTTATTTTATATTACTTACATGTTTCGGACATTAATGCCATGATCACAGTATAGTATATAACCTATTCTTATATACTATATTCTTATATAATATATTCTTATATAACCTACACGGAATAGGTTATATACTATACTGTGATCATGGCATTAATGTCCGAAACATGTAAGTAATATAAAATAAAATGTTTTTAGGGTACTGTGGTATTTTGATTTGCTTAGTAAAAGTCTATATATATATACATATATAAAAATTTGAACGAATGTTGTTTTTGGCCTCTGGGGACATCAAAATGAAAAAGTAAATCGGTCCCGGGTCTAGGTCTTACCGTGCCACCTACGGTAATAGCTACTTCCCTATAGGGAAATTCGCTAAAAAAAAGATTTTGTTGGTACTAGCGATCAGTGTCATGAACGGACATGAACTAGACGCGAAAAACTAGCTTCAAAGTTTACAATGGGATATAAAGTTTACTTGTGTTGGTTAGTCTATGGTAAGACTATAATGCATTTTCCACCCTAATAATCATGAGAATAATGTTAAACATACTTCTCAATATATTTATTTGATCAACTACGTTGCTCTTACTCCTAATTAATCATAGGATACGACATTATGGTACCGATACTATATAGGTACTACACTTTCGGTAACACTGGCCAAAAATATTCGTGCTTGGCTCCCATTGGACGGCCCGCGAGGCTTCTGATTGGGAGTTAGCGAGTTCCGCCGAGGGACCGAGTTAGCGACTTCTGTACGAGGACGGAATTCGCTAACCCGGCTCTAGAGCGGGTTAGCGGGTTCCGGAGTTAGCCAATTCCGAAACCGAACAAGTTAGCGAGTTCCTCTCATCGACCAAATTTGAAGATAGGGCTTTTAACATGGGGTTAGCGAGTTCCAGAGTTAGCCAATTCCACGGACCCACTAAATTATTATTACTGTGGAATTATTAACTTTCAATCAATATATTAATTAACAGACCAAAGTTGACCGGACACAACAAGGATTAATTAAAGCAATATTGATATCTAAATGCTTACACTTAAGTTAAAATGGACATCATAAATCATTGAGCCTGAAACAAATTATGCGAAAATTTAGAATAGGTAACTTATAATTTAACCACCATACCTTATCAGGGCCTCACCCCATGACCCGTATATCTTAGCCCGTCATCCTGCTTCTTCCGTAGTTCGTCTCCGACTTCGATCTTGGTCCCGTGGTCCACCTTAACCTGTTTTGTACACAACTACACAATATGGTGGGTCAGATACCTGGAGAACAGTGTCACAAATGATTGTTCAAAAAGAGAGATTATCCCTAATTCACCCATAGGTTGCCTCAGAACATCAACAAAAAATTTTACCTGCAAGGAAAATTTCCAAAATATTGTGGTTTTCATTGTGCTAACTGGTTGATTGATTGGTCAGCAATCTAGTCGTCAGGTGTGTTCGTAATGTTTGCTTTGGCACCGTTCTAAATGGCAAAGGTGATGAATTCTTATCAATTATCAATTCAATTATATAAATTATTTAAGACTCGGACACCACTATGTGCATATTTTAACCCAAATATGAGTAAAGGATAAGTGGCACGATCTTGTAGTCTTGTTGGTGACTAAGGCAGACATGTTCCTTAGACACAGCTGTTCATTAATAGCCAATAAAGCCAATGGCACCTAAGGGGCCTGCAGCTTATAGTGGAATCCAAATTACATTTTTCCTCACTATTTCAAAACTCTATAATTTTGAAGCCAACAATCTGTAGCTCTCCACCAGGGTGGTATCCAGCTGAACATAAATTTTGATGCCCAGGAAAAATCCATGAACTGGCTAAGTTTTGTTCATTATGGGACCAGAAAATGCAAAATTTGTTTTTAACTCCAAAAATATCTACCAATTATCACGGTATATATTTTCTTTGTGTCGTCTTGCCAAGTAAAAACTTTAACCGTGGAAAATTATCATAATAATGCTACCGTGCTAGTGGTAATCGCTGCAATCGTTAGAAATTTTTATAGAAGTTGCTACAGTTACACTAAATCATTATGATTGTGTCGATATAGCAGAAGATTATCAGAGTTATTGCTATGACCATGGAAGATGGTAGCAATTGTCAATATGGTCGCAGGTGATGATCACAAATTTTGATCTTGAGAAATATCCCAGATGTTGCAGTGGTATTGAGAAATCATTGATAAAATCCCTGATCGAGGGAATTCATTACGGTTGTGCTACGATTTTTTATGTTCTCTCGGTCGTGATACATTATTAAGGACATTTCTGCAACCATGGGAAATAATCACGGATGCGATGATGACCTCATAAAATTAACATGGATATAATTTGAATCATCATAGCTACAAATAAGTGAAATGACTTTATTTTAGCATCCTGGAAAACCTAAAAAACCTTAAGTTGAATTTTATTTTATGAAATGCTGGACATGGACACCCTGCATCATCATAGGGATATATGAACTTTTGAGAAATAATTTGTTATGAGTTTGTTCTTCGTTGAGAAATTTAGACTCCCAGGTTATCAATTTCCGAGTTACAGTACTTAAATGTACTGTTGTATTGTTTGAATGATTTGTAGTACAAAAGCAGCTGTTGATTGCGGTTATTGTGTTATAGACCGCTGTGGCAGCCACAGCAGGAGGGGGTGGCGGGGCCGCACCAGTCTCCGATGCAGACGCCGACCTACAAGCTCGTCTTGACAACCTGCGTCGTGAGTAAATGATCACGACAATGTCTATTCTGTACATTACCTGTAATAAAGCTTTGGATTAACGAATGATGAGCAAAGGTATGGTAAAGTTCCATTGTAAAGTTGCCTAAATAAGTGCAAACCTTTTTAATACTAAGTCTTGTGAAAATTTTATTACTGCTACTTGTAAAAAGTGTGAATAAACTAACCCTTTTTGTAAGTTCCACCGTTGAAAATTATTGTAATTATAACTTAAAATCAGTTTGCTAGTAATCGTTGTAAATTTGAACTGTGTATAAATAATTCTAAAGGTCTAAATAGGATTTTGTATCATAATTAGACTATCAAAGTTAGAATGTTTAACAGCTTTCAATTTAAAAAATTATAACATTATTTACAATTTATATATTAAATTATTATTTCAAATTTTGAAAATTAACTTGTCTGTTATTTAATAACTTGCACACAAGTGGAGATAGTTTTACCATACTTATTATACCAAATTCCCTGTGTTTTCAACTTAAGCAAAGTTTTATCAGTATTTATTTGTATAAAAGAACTAAATTAATTATTTGTTCTAATATGAGATGTATCGAAGACACCTGAATCAATAAGCCAAGCTTTTGCTTAACATTAGGTTGTATAGTTTTATGTTAATTAATTAGGTACTATAAGACAAAAATCACTTGCAGTGAAAACTTCTTGCACCTTTCAGGGACAATTCCTGTACTTAAGTTGGGTCTTAGGTATTGGTTATTTTAAAAATATTGACCCTTTTTAATGATTGTATAAAACATGAATTGTCAATGTATAACAAAATAGATGTTTTACCATGGAAGGAAGGCTTATGCAAACAAACTCTAAATAATTGTAAAACAGTGATTCCTCTTGGTTCATTTGCATATCTTCTTTATTGGGCCTCTTTAACAGTCTAAATGTACCTTTGACTATTAATACAACTAGATATTCCATCCCCATGTTAAATATTTCCAACTGAAGCCGTCATAGTTTATGTGAGCAACCGACAGATTGTGCTGATCTTAATTACTGATTTATGTCGAATGAATACACAATCTTTTTTACCAATTCAAACTAACGGGATGACTTATGATGGGTTATAGCAACTGTTATAACCCATCAACTTGGTCAGCAACAAAAAATAAGGCAGAAAATATAAATTGAGTCACTAGCGCATTCTGTGACTGGCTCACACAACTACGTTCTTTTTTAACAAAAATTTGGCTCCGGCTGGTCTATATAGATGGGACGTTTACTTCAGTATCCAATAGTCAATGGTCTCGCGAATATAAAAACGGTAATCAAATATTTAGTTATTCTGAACATATAAAATGTGAGTTGGTGGCTTAGTCGGTAGGGTCACGAACTTCGGGCCCAAGGCAGCGATGTCGTGGGTTTGGATCCTAGTCACTGTCCTGATAACTGTACTGATAAAATTTATCAGTACAGTTCACCTTTGTACTGTACCGGCTCACCACTCGCTTTGCTGGATACGTTCCACGCAAGGGCAGATAGTCTATGTGAACAGGCAAATGCAAGGTTAAAAGAGGCTGCCAACCTCTTAAAAAAAGAAGACCCTTTATTGTGGTTCGGCCCAGATTACTAAATATGGCAATAGCAAATCCCTTCTTTACTCACATTCACAGCTTCAAACCAAAGTTGTATGTAGTCATTTTTAGATGAGAACAAAAAAAATGAAATTCATCATTAAGTTTTAAATAGGCAGGTCGACCCATAGCTTAATAATTAATGTGTTGGTTGAAAATACCATTGTTTGTTGTTTATATTTAGTGAGTATTGCCTATAAAAACAACTTTAAATGTATGTTTACATTAAGATTCCCTTTAAAAAAATGTATTAGTGTCGAATAAGTTACCAATACCACCTTAAAACAGAGTTTTCTTTTAGTCTCCTGAGTGATAAAAAATACAATTTTTAAAGCATTATATTCAATGGTTGATGTCAGTTTATGGTAATTTTTTACTTAAGTGTTTAAAAAACAATGTGATACTATAGTTAATAATTGTTATTGTATTAATATAAGCTGCTATTATAACTGGATGCTGATTTATATTAAACGACATATATATTATTTTGATAATTATTGATTTGTTTTCATTATTATCACCCGTTTACTACCATTACATTGATGTAGGACTTTGTACCGTCAATAATTGTCCAACTAATATTAATGGGAAGAAAAAAAGCAAACAAAAGTTTCTTGCCCTCAAAGTCTAACTGTTGATCCCAAACTATTACTTAACAGCTTTGGGCTTACTTTAAACTATTTCACAATTTTCTTAAACTTACTGGAACTCCAACTTTAAATTTACTGGAACTGGAACTCCTTTTCTTTTTTTAACTGAATTTAAAAGTCACCAAAGACATATTTTTTTGTTTTTTATACCAGCAAAAAATTAAATCTCAGTAAAAACTATATCAATTGGTCTTACATAGTACTCAACTCTTATGTAGTGGTCTGTTGTATGTAAGACAGTTTTGTTTACCCAAGATTGACTATTGATGGTAAAAAAACATCCTTGGAGTTAAATATCTGCATTGGACAGATTTGTGTTCTATAGCTATCCTTGTTATTGATTTTACAATTTAATGTAGATTTTTCTTTGCAAACTAAATCAAACTATTTTTGTAGTACTACAGTGTTCTATTTTATTATTATCTTGATCTATTATTATCTTTTTTATAATAATAAGGGTTTTTGCCCCTTTGGCAAAAATATTTTGTAAGCTCTTGACCTTTTCTCGACTATGTTTCGAACTTGAAACACTTTCTCGAGTCTGAAAAATCTCACTATTGGCCTTAGGTTTATCTACATGTAAGAAATAAATGAAGAAGATACATTACTGTGATGTACAGTTTATTTCAACATAAAAAATTAACAATAAATATAACGTGAAATAATATTGAATAAGTTAGCTTCGTTTGCAAGCTAAAACAACAACACTCAGAAATATAAAAATATTCTAAGAATACTTGGTTCATACAAATTGTTGCAAAATTCATAAAATTGCTTCAAGATAACTATCAACTATTTGCCTTTGGGAACAAATGGCTTACTAAATAAAGATAACAATGGTATACATAGCTTATATACATAGGTATTTTGTGGTAGAATGTTAACATCTATATACAACAAACTTTTATTATCACAGAAAAAAGTTGTACACATCTAACCACCAAAAGAGAATTACGTTTAAAACATGTATTTCTTAAAAATAAAATTACTCCAATTAGACAAATAAGAATATATTCTCCATTCATTTTAATGTATTTGATATTACAAAATAGAATGCATTTTATTTAAATATTTTACAAATAGCATTGAGCTTGATACTTCTATCAATAAAATTCATGAGCATCATTTTATAAGCTAAGTAGGCCCCAAGAGTTAAAAAATTCAATTAAAATCACTTATTTTCAAAAAATTTGTTCTTAAATTACTAAATCTAAGAATATTTTAAAATCTAATGTCAAAACTTGAGATTAAGAAAAATTCTTTAATTTGGCGGTCATGTGTTGAAGGAACTTTAAACCATGAACATTAAAACATTAAAAGGTTTGATCAAAAACTTTTACAAACAAAAGGAATGATAAAACAACTTCTAATCAGAATATTTAACACTCACAGTTTAAAATTTATAACTCTGTCCTTGAGATCTATGTTTCTTGTTAATCCTATTTTTTTTCATAAATTCAAAACGTTACTTTATGTAAATTGTATTGAGAAACAAATTCATGGCCAACATTTTAAACAAAAGAGATTACAATCGCTATGTTTTACGGTTAAGGAAGAATCACATGTGTAAAAACGTCTTAGCATCTGGCTTTAACTTAAGTCTACAAAACATAACAATAGGACTAGGAATGGTCGAGGTGCGCAGTACCCTGTTTGTCTGAGAGGTAGGTGAGGTTTACCCCTGACGGAAGATGGGCCGTTCTGACCGCCAGCCCGTAGCTGTGGGACCAAACTTGTAAACAAGCCGCTTGCCATATACTGGGAGTAAAACTTGGCTCTTGTAGTAGTATCTGTAAATCATAATAAAGGTTATAACTACAAAAAATAAGAAATCACTCTTTGTAATGCCATTGATGCCAAGACTTGTTATCAAGGTCGACTTCCTATAGAGGTTTGCACTAACATATTGTTATTATGGGTAAAATCAATTCAAGGGGATTTGGAAATGACACTTGTTATCAAGGGTGACATTTTATCGAGGCTCGTGTTATCGAGCTCCAATGTATATTGAATCACATTAATTTCTTCATGGACAACAGTAATTGTCAATCAATGTACTTTATTTTCTTATGGTGAAATAGCCTCTGAATCACGGAGCTAAGATATAATGGTTTAAATTACCGTCAAGTGATCTTATGCTAGTTGAACTGTAAATGACTAGCTTCGGGCTACTACAGTCCATCTTAAGTGTGGCAAAAAAACAATATCCATCCATGTTGGATAGAAATAGATGGACCTACATGTTTCTATCAAACTAGAAAATCTAGTAGTTTAAAACTTAACTAACACAGGATCCCTTGTACAAATTAAGAGTATCAGTGTACCAGCAGAGTCAGTTTAGCAAACAATAACATCTATTATTAGCCTGTTTACTTCATCTCAGCCTGTTTGCACATAGTGTTTACCTTCCAAAACCAGCCAAATACTTGCTATGTGACTCGCTTTCTCGTTTTAGATTGTGGAAACAGCAGTTATTTGCATTACAAACGTTATTTTTACAAAAATCTTACTTTATCACAATGTGAAATAGTTGTCAAAATCACTTTTAATGGTGTTCAATAGGTATTCACTAAAATTATTCATTCCCTTTTCATCCTTTATGAATTTAAAAATCTTTGTAAAGGAAATCTTCCTGTACAAGATCAACAATAACATCAATGCAACAATAAAATACCAATAGGTTAGTAATAAAGTGTTGATCTTATTTATTGGACAAAATTGTATTTGAAAAAGAATAGGTAAATTTGAACAAGATTTATGCTTTAGAAAGATGTCCACATACAAAATTTATCTGTATCCGCGAGAAGGGTGGTTTGCTCCATAAAAGATTACAGCATTCCTACAGAGTGCCAGAAAGTCGTGCCATATTGATGCAAACCAGCTGGTTATCGTACAAACACTTGCTAGTATGTCTTTGGAACTGGCTGACATTTTAAATTCTCATTGGTTTAAACATTATGCAGATATATCCTTCAACACCAAAATACTAGCAGGTATATTTGTTACTGGAAAGGTTAACTTATATTTTTCTCCCAAAGTGGTATCAACAATAACGACAGTTAATGCTTACCTCATGGCACGGCTGAGTTTCTCGTAGTTCATGTCGATGTTGTCTTTCTTGCTGCCCCACAGTTTGGCTACACGGTCACTGTGGACGAACCTGAACGTTCCCTCGTCGTAGTTCTCCCAACATATGAGGCTAGGGTTGTACAATGGGTTGAGTAACAGGTCTCTGATAAACTCCCACAGTCGTCCAAGCTTTTCTGTAATCAATACACAGAATTTACTAATGATCTCACTTTATTTTGATATATTTTATATCCAGCTTTACTAATGACTTTGGCAAAGTTTTTATGTTCAATCTTTGGTTTAATGGAATGATCGAGTATTAGAGATACATGAGGAATCTTTGAGCAGTTGACTTGAAGAGGACGACAGAGTGGCAGGGAAACGTGATGCAAAGGCCAAAACCTACATGAATTTCAGTGATAGCAGGACTTTTGAATATGGAAAGTAAAAAAAATGTTAAATTTATGAAATTCACAGAATATTTTGCTACTTGATAGATTTTTCTAAAAAATTTTATTTATTCCCCAAACAGAAATTTCACATATTTTGCAGTTTTAAATTAATTTACAAATTATTTTGCAATTGTAATGAGTAAAAGGGGAACCTTTTCAATTGAAAATCCCCTGCAACTGTCCCTAAGGTTGTGATAGTTTGTAGAGCCACTACTGTAACTTCCTTGAATGTTAAGGATTTAGTACCTGGTTTCTTCTTCCTCCGTGTGCCGCGAGGTCTGCCTGGTCTTCTCTTCTCAGGGGGAGGGGGAGGCTCATTGACTGTCGTCTCTTCACTGGAATCTGACTTGTAACCACTATCAACCTCTGCAACACAAGGTTAGCATTAGCTTTCAGATCAAACAACATATTGCTATAATGGAGTTTTCATGAGATTTCAGGATCTTGATACCTACCCCGCGTCCTCAAGTGAGAAACAACGATCAGCATTTGCCAGACAAAAATTACTAACAGGGTTTTTATTTATGAGCTTTTGTTTTTTTGATTATTCTACTTGTGTTTGACTAATATGTTGTTCTGTTGGTGGTTTTTGCAGTGTTTTTCCAGCTTTAGCTGTACTGGAAAATATCCACAATAATTTGTATAAATATTTATCATAACCACGATTGTGTTTACCTGATGGTGAGGAGTATGGAGGGGCGGTGGCTGTAGATGATTTAAACGCAGGAGTGTGCAAGTGGGACTCGTCCAGGTCTGTGAGTGTGTGACTCTCATGTGGTGGACTGCTGGTGTCCATGTGGTTGTCTGTACGAGACTGAGACTGTTCAATGCGATACCTGCTGTACTCGTCCTCATGCCTCGGGTTGTTCCACTGGTCTACGCTGAACATACTGTTGTAAACGTAGGGTGACTTGAACCTCTGCAGCCTCATGTACAGCTCCTTACCATGGTCAGGGAAGTTTTGGCAAAACTCTTCCGCACTCATGTGTTTCAGCATTACGCCGTTGATGTGTGCCAATTTCTCAATTTTTACCTGTTGACAAAGCAACAAGCTAGGAAATCATTTTTTAAATTGAGCCATAATAGACTATATGAACGATGGGTGCAAATGTCAACTTGGCAGAAGACAGTGAGTGACGAAGAGGCCGGTAATCTAAAAGGTGAAGAATTGACTCTGGATATGTGGAGCCAAGGCAGTAAGTAGGAAAGTTTTACTATGGATCATGAGCAACAACTAAGCAAAACTTAGTGTTATCAACTAAAGGGTTGAACTTATGTGTACTTTTGATAACAAAATCCTGGTCATTTTTTACAGGTTTCCGTCCCATCACAGCTGTATTACTAGAACATCTCAAAATTTGCATCTTGCTAACCAAATGGGTTAACAAAATGACTAAATACTTTCTCTGAATGTTGAAGAGTGGTTTTGGTAAGTAAAAAATCGGTTAGCAGATTTTGTAGATTTTTACCAACGCTTCAGGCAGTGGCGGATCCAGAGGAGGGGCGACTGACCCCCCTCTCAGGCATACATATATATATATATATATATATTTACACATTGCGTAAAATAATTTGTCACACTAACTTTGGACAAAGAAATAGTATAAAACTGCCATTTGGATATATAGTTTACACTAATTTTTAGGGGGGTACCCCCAAGTCCCACAGTCCCCCCCGTTTGCTCCCCCCCTTGTGACTGTTCTAGGTCCGCCACTGGCTTCAGGAAACAGCCCTCAAACCACTTATATCTGGCTTGCTATTTTGTTTGGAGCTACGATACCAAACTGATTATTGATTTAATCTAGAATTTCTACAAGAGTTTTGCCTTCCAAAAAGTAACAGTTTTTTCCAGAATTAACTGACAAGTATGTTATGTGAGTAATGTGACCAAGAGTAGTGGTTAACTTACCTCTGGTAGGTTGCGGCCGACTTTGAGGTTATGTAGCTCGTGTATGACCCAGAACAGACAGTCTTCAGGTGTCCAGTGGTCAATGTACTTGGACTGCCAGTCTCCGTAGTGCTGTACGTCTGGTGGACACAGCTCTGCCAGCGGCTCTGAGGAACAAGTAAATAATGAACCAAACAATGTAGTAGACAACTGAATAAAAACTTGTTTTATTTTATCACAAATCGCAAGTATTTCAGGAACACCACCTAGGATCTCTTTTTCAGGAGATGGGGACACCACCTAGGTGCCTATATTAACCCAAGGATTAGTGTAGAATGGTGTGACATGATCTGTGCGTATCTTTTGTTACTGACTAAGCCCAATGATCATGAACAGCTGGGTCAATTTGCACTGGATGTTTCTTTCCTTTTCAGGCTCAATAGGTAAATGACAAGAATCATGAGACATATACTGTAGCCTACTGTACTAAAGTTATGACGTTTCTTTATTGTTCCTCTTAAAGTTACTTATATTATCACCCGCTCAAACAAGAGATTGACAAGTAATGATTGTATTTTGTTTTACTTAGCTTACTTTTTCAAAATGAAAAATGAAAGCTGTTTAAAATTCTTCTCAGAAAGAAATTAACAGCCTCTGGATCTCAAGGCAACCACTCTAACCACTTAGCTCTAGACCTAGAGTATTTAAGTTCTCAGTTTTTAAATTAATTAATTTTTTGGTTGGTATTAGTTGTGATGAAATCTAAAATCCTCGATACTTTTAGAGATCAAACATGTAAAATCGTCATGTAGGCTACACCATGCAGGGAAAAAATAACTTCAAATGCTTGTTCTTAAGAGTTTTAAGTAAAAAAGTTAGATTTTTAATGGCAAGAGAGATGTTATTTACCTGTTTTAATGGTCTTTGGAGGTAGTCCGTAGGTCGGAGGCTGATATTCACTCTCCACTTGACGAAACAATTCGGCGTCATCGTAAAGAGAGACCGAGTCTGATAGTAGTGATGTGGCTTTGTAGATACTCCAGTCTTGTGAAGGGTCAAACATCTGGACATCACCAAAACATGCATTAGAACTGATCGGAGTATATAATTCATTAAGTAGTTTTTAAAAATGTTAAACAAGTCTTTCATTTTTGTTTATCGTAGGTTGAATCTATGCTTAAGTTATTGCTAGTGGAATTTTATTGTAATGATTTAAAAAGTAGTTATTAACTTACAGGTATATAATATATTTATTTATATTGAACTTATGCCTGTTTTCCTTATTATTGTTTGTACATTAAGAGATCATCTTCTGTTTTTTTTGTTCTTTAATATTAGTCATATCTTGTAACCGTTTACATTGCATTACCATACTCTACATAACAGGAAAAAATTCTTTGCCTTCTTTCAAAATGATTCCTTTTAAATTACTAGTCAAATCATCATCTTGTCAAACACCTTTACTATTATACTATTTACTTTTTAAACATGATATCATGTTTAAAAAGCAAATAGTATGATAGTATCTATACATATCAAAATTGAATGTATGTTGGATAAAATATAAATTAAATTGTCTGTAAGATTAAAACAGTTAAAAATTTGATTCAAAGTTTCTAAAATAAAAGGATAAGAGTACAAATTAATAGAAAACTAACTTCTTTAACTTTGATCAGTGGTGATTATTTACCATTATTTTCTAGTGTTGCTAAAACTTTATTTTGCTGAAACCATGCAAAATCTAAGCAATGATAATAAAAATACCCATGCCACAGTGAACCTGCCAACTAAGCGAATTTCCACTTGTCTGAATTGATTTTCAATTAAATCTATTTAAATAACATTTAAGGGTAAACAAATATCTAGGTTTGCTGCTATAATGAAACTAATAACGTGTGTGTTTTTTTTTTTTATACTAATAATTAAAAAGAAAAGAATTTCATTCATTGGACATCTTTTAAGGACACCGGAAAATAGAATAAGCAAGAAAATAATTGACAAGTTGTGGAATAGCAAGAGTGACTTTAGGAGGATTACAGAGATTACGGAGGACATGAGAAAGTTGAAAATATCATTAGAAGATTTGGAAAATAAGTCAGAGGCGCTTGCAGTACTCAAAGACAAAAATATCATCCTGCAAATAGGAGCAAACAATCAGAGACAAGGAAGAGTGGTTTCGGAAGAAGAAAGAAAACAACGGTCGGAAAGAATGAAGAAGTATTGGGCGGACAAGAAGATGAGAGAGAATTTAAAAAGAATCTAACCATTATATTGACCTAAGTGGTCCAATGCTGGCCATAAAATAATAATAATAATTAATAGTTTAGTATAAAATAGGCTAAATAAATTTGCCAAGTTTTATCAAAATGTATCCATAAACAAGCAAACTACAACTTATTACAATATTCTCCATAAGAATAACATGGGAATTTGAAATTTATTTTTTTTTTAATTTTCTCCGTTACCAATAATGGTACAAAAACACTTTGATATAGGTACTAAATTGTTTGGGGTTTTTAAGCTCTTAAAAAGGTTCAGAGATAAATTGGGAAATTTGATGTTTTGAGAGTCAAAAATGAGAAAAACCAATTTTAACCCCATACAGCCCCCCGTAAAACCCCGTTCCCATGGTCCGATCAAGCTGGTTTGCAAAATCTTCCAAGTTCATGTTGCCTTACACCTTTAATCCAAATTTCATCAAAATCGGACAAAAAAATACTCAAGTTATCGCACACTCAAGTTCAGGACATATATATATAGCCTATATATTGATTGTTGTATATAAAAATTTGAACGAATGGTGTTTTTGGCCTCTGGGGACATCAAAATGAAAAAGTAAATCGGTCCCGTGCCTAGGTCTTACCGTGCCACCTACAGTTATACTACTTCCCTGTAGAGTAATTCACAAAAAAATAATACTTATGCGAAAACTTCAGTCTTAAAATCAGGCACAATGTATTGCTACATTGAGATCACATTTTCTCATTGTAGTGATCTGTAGGGGCCCCCCTCGCCAAACAAAAATGAAAATAATAAGGTTTTGAAGTTAACAGTTGATCAAGCAGATATATTTGACAAATTACAATAGCTTAATACTGATCTAATGCCAAAAATAGTACGGTACACACGGGAACATGTTAAAACCCAATGGGCAATTGATAGTGAATTTAGTTTGAATCCAACAAACAAACACACATAAGGGATAAAAACTTAGTTTTGGTACTGATTGAATAGTAGACGATTATAGTTAAAATAGTGGAAAAGTCACACAAAATGTCTACACAGTTTATAAAAGTTAATTAGTTGCAGAGGGTGAACTTACTTCATTAGATTCAGAATTAACTCCTGAGAACGCTGGCATTTTGAGCCTGTAAACAAACACAAACTGTAAAAAATATAAATCAAAACTGGCTTAAACAGTATGCGAGTAAGACTAATTAATCTAATCACAATCCCTAAGGCCCTAAGGCCTCTAGTAGTAGAAATTGGACATGATTGACATTATGAAATACTTTTTGACAAAATAAGACTTCCAACTAATTTGTAGGGGGAAATAATTACCAAATGTTCCTGCAAGTTTAACTGAACTTTGGTCTATTTATTGTACAATGTAGGATTTAATACAACTAGACCTCTAACTAAATTATGTTGACAGTTAAATGTAAATATACTAAATTGTTGTTCTAATGTAAATCACAAAAATCGGGTACAGTTTCTTAACTGGGCTACGCTAATATTTATTGAACTATTGAATTGAAAATATTGATTAATAATCGATATTTTAAAATATATCTATTATAAAATTAAACTATCATAACCTAACCTAACCAACCAAACTTGCTGATGGTGAAAAAATTGCATGAAGGTTTACTAATCGAATCGATAGTTTCAATAAATATTAGCGTAGGCCAGTTAAGAAACTGTATCCCAAAAATCTACCTGATCATGACATTTCTGGCAAGTAAAACAAAACAAAATTAATTGTAAATAATTGTCATAATTATACATTGAATAATATACCGGTCTCTCATTTAACGATGGCTTGGCATGAGATGTATTAACTTAATCATAAAATCTAACTTAATTTTGTTGAAATTTTTCCCAAGTAGTAATACCCAAGTAGTAAAAAATTTGTTTAAAACAAATTCTTTGAAAGCAATCTTTTCAGCAATTAAACACAAATATACATTACTATTTTGAAAATAACTGACATGGGACAATTTTATAAAATAAATTATATCTTGTAATCAATAATAGTGTAGTATTTTGAGAAATGTTCCAATTCAATTACAACTTAAGTAATAAGTATGTTTGCTTGCTTAAGATAAATATTAAAATCCCAGTTCAAAATAATAATAGAATTAGATAATTTTACAAGCTAAATTCTTGTAAAATTGAGTCACCCTTAAACTGTGGTTTGTTTCTAAGTTCATAAATAGTTAAATTAAAGGTTTTTATGTTACAAATTCAAAGACATTTTCTAATGTTTAATTAACTTACCGGTACTTTGAATTTTACAATCCCTACAGTAAAAAAAACTTGCAGCTAGTGTTGTAAACAAGGTATATTTTATATTACATTGCAATTATGATAAACAAATTCATTTATAGCAATTGAAGTTACCATCTTATTACAAAGTAAGTGGAATTAAATTTTAAAAGGAAAAAAAGGTTGAATGGTAAAGAAAATGTGTACCATATTCCTTATCTGCTCAAAGATATGACTGCAATAAACACATATAAACAAACAGTCAGTAGGTCTTAATTAATTTGTTCACTTTATGATGATGGTTTTGCTTCACATGTATCTACACTACAGACAGAATAAAGGCAGTTGATAAACAAAACTGTAATGTCATCATCAACTGGTAAAATATACTTTTAAAATTTTACTTTCATTGTCTTACACTTATATAAAACCCATGACAGTAATAATACAGTTATAATTTTTTAAAGCAACAAACCCAAGATAAAAAGTTCAAATATTTTCAATTGTTCACAAATAAATATCTAATGTATTTTAGAAGTTACTGTAGGCCTACCTATGGCTCTGAATTACACATTTTTTTATGTATAATAAGTCATGCTTGGCAGTCAAATTTCACAAAAACGAAAAACATGCTTAATATTAGGAATTGATGTTGATAATAATTTCACACTTACCAAGTTTTTAGCAATATCCAAAAAATAGTAAATAAACTGTCTTAAGTTAAAATAGTCAAAACTATTTTTCAATTATAGATTACACACACAAAATAAAACGCACCATTTCACTGTTCACACCAACACACGCGCTCGAATGGTAACTCTCCACTGAGTGTAGGCAATATACTGATTGTTGATAACAACACACCACCAGCCAGTGCCTGTTTTCAACACTGGGTTTCTATGAGTTGGTGTCAGCCAATGAGGAACAAGCATTTCTCGGTTGTCATGACAACCGAGTCGTCACAGCTTGCCAACGACCTTGGCGACTCGGTCAGTCGGGGATAAACCAGCGTTGCCATGGTTACCTGCAAGCCTAGCTTTCTCATTGGTCGAGCCGCACTCGGTCACACAGCTGCTTATTAAAAACATTCAGAAGCTGTTCTATCTGTTAGAAACAAAAACAGAACTTCAACTTCATTCCCGGTAGGGAAAACAGGCGCACCTGTGATTAACCAAAAATAAACGAGGAAATTTACTATAAACTGTATTGTTTGATCTAATGGTTTTCATCTTATCACTCGCTCATTTTTCCTCATGCAAAAGTGCATCACAATCTGTGCAAAAGTGCTATTATCTGTCTATTTAATTGAATTCGACGAGAATATTGTCTTCTTTTTTACACATAAGTTTCTATAAAACGTTTTTCTCTTAAATTTATTATTGGTTCCTGTATTAAATTTATTAATATTGCCTAACTAAGTAGGTTAACAAAAAACCTCCCCTTAACAGATTTGTTAAATTTTCATTTCCTTGAGTATACATTTGGACCTTGGGCTTCGTGCTAGCTTACTAATGGCTGTCCTTGAGTAGTCAGTTGGACAAGGATTTGTCTACTCAATAAATTATGTGACGAAAACGATAAACACAATCACCCTGGGGAGGGAAAGTTGGGCAATGGACAAAAATAGAGAAGCCCGTGTCTACGTCCCGAAATGACCGAATGAACTTTCAGTCGCCGAATAAACCCAAAAGGGGTCATCGAACCACGATGTTTCAGATATAGATACATAAGCGAGTCAACAGGCTATTTACTGGGTTTATCTTTATATTTTCAACAAAAATGTGAAAAATACAAACACTTTTCCAGGGAAAGATAAGATGCGACTACCAAATAGAGATGCGTCAGAATGCTTACGTTCACATTAAAGTAAACGTGTAAAATTAGTTAAATACAAAGCTCTACGGTTTCCGAAACTTATAAACAAAATTTTAGTTGGTTTTGTGCAAAATACAAGTAAGATACGATGGAACGCGTCTAGCAAATAGAGAACAGATATGAAACCAAAACGTGATTACACTACGAGAAAAAGTCTGGATATTTTTGTACACGGCACCGCATATGATATCAGATGAGAAAATACATCTAGAGATAATCTAAGAGACATAATTATCATACCTGTCATACTAATCTTCATCTCGGTACAGTTGAGTTGGCACTCTATAACTTTGCCGTCGTCAATCGCTAACATAACACCTCCCCTCCACACTCACACACATACACAATTACACATACACTTACACGCTTACATACATGCACCGCGGATGTATTTCTTTTATAAAAGCAATGTGCATTCACAGATTCAAAAGGCACATTAATAACATTGTAAGTATTTTATAAATGGTCAAATAAATGTCCAGAAAGTGAATGCAATGCAAGTGACATAATGGATCAGGGAATATTGTTATCACTTAATTAATTCGCTTAACATTTCTTTTACGAATGAGATCTGCTAAAAAAGTTACATCTTCAATTTTTCAAACAATAATTTTTACTATTGTAGTGTAGGTACCTTCGTTTATATGGTTGGGTCAAAATTTATTATAATTGTAATTTAACATTTTTAAATATTTTTTAAGTTCTGCGCACAATATTTCTTAATAGTAACGCTCGTCTAATTATTAGAGGGAAGAGAAAAAAATTGATCGAAGAAGCGGTTAAAACCGAACATCATAGTGGCACGTCCAATAACACGTTTTTTATGGCTTTTGCAGTTAGAGCATGACACATTTAAAAATAACATGTAATCTATGGATTTTCGTTACATTACTTACAATGTGTGTACAGCTCACCCTCTAATATAAAAGGTTTTTGGGAAATTGATAGGTGAACAACTATCATCGCGTCGCAGGGCAAGGGATATTGTTAATGGTATTTTAATTACCGTTATGAGGAAAACTAGTATTTTTCCCGCGCTTTAGCAACAAGTTATGAATTAATTTTGTTATGCCTAATAGTTTTACAAAATATCCCTTTGATTTCTGGCAATCAACTGCTGAAGAAAACGGAAATTAAAATACAAAATTAAATATTAAAATTGCAGATTGTTTACAGTTTGGAAATTGCAATGAAATATACTGCAATCAATAACAATTTTCATTACTTATAACCAGACCTACCTTTTCTCCTTAAAATGCTTAGTTTTTCAAAATTTTAATATTAATTAATTACCAGATGTTTTATTGTTGATAATGTTGATAATATAAAAGGTTTTTGGGAAATTGATAGGTGAACAACTATCATCGCGTCGCAGGGCTTTACTGTATTTAATTCTACATATTTATTTAATTGAATGGATTTCTTCTTTTTTCAATCCATTATTTCTGTTGTTATTACCCATAAAATACAGTACACTCCACTTCTTGATTAACACAAATATTTTTTTGGTCCTTCGAGCCATTTTCTAAATTCTTTGATATTTTAAACCTTCCAACCTATGTCTAAGATGAAAGAATCTCAGATTGCTCAAGAGATAATTGTTTTAGAGTTTTATAGGGACACTCTTGTTAAGATCAGTGTTAATTTACATAATGATCTAACACACTTTAACAATTTCAAAGCACGCTTCGATAAACTCGAGCCTACAAAATGGTTGTCATAAACCTAATGTGATATCTTTGAAACCCCAGAAGCAGAACCCCCAGATATTTTAAGTTTAAGAATACGACAGAAGACTTTTCAATTTCATAAATAATAATATCAAAAGGTTTCAGTGGTATCTGATGTACGGGTTGGATATAAATAAAATACATACGGACCCACAGACATAAATAAATTTGGTTATAAATACATAGACATATAAGTAATTTAGTTTACCAGCGATATTCCAAGAAATGTAATCATTATCATGATTCCGTTGATTTCAAAGAAAAAAAAAGATAATAAGTAAATAATAATGAAGGTACGCGACGAGAATTTATTAAGTATAAGTAATTGAAAACTTCTCCCTCATGTAGCGTATATTATGAATGTCTCGGGTGTTGTATACAGAAATAGACAATGCTGGATTCTGATGGTGGCTAAACGGTGGTAGGTTAGTTGCGCAGATAATTGCAATGACCCTAGGGCCATGGACGAACCTTGACTGGGCACAAGCCAAAAAGGGTTCACTAATCCTCGCCTTGGCTGGGCACATGGTCCACGCAAGGCAGACGGCGCGCGGCAATGAATTCCTAGAAAATCCCGAGTGACTAGTGAAAGTGCAATGTTACATGTTAATCAAAACAAGGGTTAAGTTAATCCTAAAATCCCAACATTAGATAATTTTTCAAAAGCCAAAATATAAGTGAAGTGATTTGATACACAGCACACATTTGAAAGACAGCTGGCAACAACATGAACCTCTTGTGTGAAATCTATATAAATAAAATTACAGTTTTGTCTGTAAATTGCTTAGAATCATCCAATTTTTGGTTATTTGTACGTTTCATAGCCTAAGAAAGCTGAAACGAGTCTTATCTCAATTTCTGTCTGTCTGTCTGTTTGTCCATTCTATGATTCCGTCTGTGACGCCAAAATGTCATTTTACGCGGCCTACTCCTAGAAAAATAGATTACCGATCAAGGTCCAAATCATTTTTCTGTATTTACTGGATTGGTGAGAGTGTCTTGGGCTATAAAAACATGGCCTCGCTTCTTTGGAAACAAAATAACGAACGATCAAAAACCCAATTTTGTTAGATTTTTGTCAAATTTTCTCCCAATGTTTACTATTACATTTTATAAAATGAAGATCAGCTGTTTGGATTAGTTCTCACTTCTAGCTGTCACTGATATGTTTACATTAAAAGTTGTATACAAATACCGCAACCATTTCCGATAAAGTTTTGTTAGCACATCCAAACCAAGGGGGATTAAAAACGTTGTGCCTTACTTAACCGGTTAAATTAATAATAAGTGCAACGATTGTTCTTGAGTTTTGATGACCGGGGGAAATACCGTGAAACAGTGTTGTATTGGTGCTGGGAAACTTACATTTTTTTAAACATCGTCACCAATACAGTAGCTTACAAAGGTTTCCACTCAGGTAGGTAGTAGAGGTTGAGGTAGTATTTTAAGTACTTTTACCAGTGTGAAAAGTAACTTTCAATTACAGGCCTACCTTAGGGCTATGCCTCATAGATCCGTAAAGCAATTTATTTCATCATTAGATATAAAATATGGACTAACACGATCGGGTGACATTTAATTGCGAAGCATTCGTTTGGCTTTGAAACTGTCAGATATTGTATTTGCTAAGGTTTATATGTATTCCTATACAGTAATAGTTTTTCCAGCATATCTGGAAAAAATGCACACTAAATATCCAAACCAACTCCTGTTCTGAATATAAGGTTTCAACTTACTATAAGATTCCCGTACGTAGAACGGGCAAACAACTAGTTAAAAAAATCTTCGCTTGTCTATCAGACATGGCAGCTCAAGCACAACGTTACTAGTCCTGAAAATAAGTGTTTACTGGACGACTGTGGTCGTTCCCGTGCGAGACCAAGTCGAGTGCGGGATTACCATATGAGTCCGGTAAACACATTTTGGACAAGTGACGTACAATAGTTTACTCTTGTTATACTATTTCAGTGAGGGTCTCATCCATAAATATATTTTCTAAGGTAAAAGGTTATAAAAATATATCTATTAGCAATAGAAGAGCAGTGGTATATTCTTTTGTTTTTATTAAAATTTGTACTGCCACATCAACATTTCACGATAAGCCACTGTAAATAACCAAACCTGGTGAGAACTTTCAATTTTGTGATTATCAGACCTAGACATCTGAAGAAATTTATCAAAGACACATTTTTTTCAATCTATCAAACTAAACATCAAATATCCAAAAGTACAATGTTTGAAAAACTTTCTAC